CATCATAAATACCGGCAAGCTTGTTTGAATCGAAGTTCAGTGAATATTTTATCAGGTGTATCAGATACACCTGTGATTGATCACTTGTCTATCACAATATAGATCATTATTGATTTATACCAAATGATAAAGCCTTAGACAGAGGAATTGGCCTAATAATGCTTTGAAAATAAAGAGAAAATTCAAACTCCATGCAGAAAGATTCAGAAAGTTACCAGCTGCACCTCCCTGCCGCCTGAAAATAATACCTAATAGGATTAAACACATGAAATATAAAAAAAGAAACAATCCCATCATCATCTAATCTTTCTCACATATGAGCAAAAATCCACCTTCTGTAATGTTCTGCCAAACTGAACACAAATCTATTGGATAAAAACCAAACCATGCATCTGGCTTGTTTGTCTACGTTACTCATAATTCACATAAATCTGTTCATGCAGACTCCTTGTGGGAACTAACGTCTCTTTTGGCAACAAAAATAAAGTCCCAGCAAGGAAAATAAATCAATTCTGAGAAGAGATTCTGGTTTAAAGTTTGACCGAGGATACATTTAGATAAGCAGCAGTTAGTTAGCTGCACAGCTTGTCTCCAGTAATGAGACGAAAGCAAATTAAAGAGCGTCTTCTGTTATCGCTCATCCCAAACCGTGCAGAGAAATGCTTTTTCATAAGATAATTATGGTAGTTATTTGTCTCTAATTGCTACACATGATTTAAAAGGATGCCCTTCTTCTGCGTTGACATAGTTTGAGCCTTTATCTCCCGACAAATGAATTTCACTCAACTCAGCCACCATGTTTTACTCACAAGTAGATTTATTAAAATAAAAAAAGAAGAACCTAATGACCGAAAGGTGAGAGTTTATATTTGACCTTTTGGGATAATTTCCGAAGCGTTGTTCTGCACTCCTGGATTCTTATTAGTGTTGCCATCAATGAATATCAATTCACATGTTATGTATGATCACCATGACCTTTTCTGCAGAGATCAGATAGTATGGCTCCACATTATGATGTTTGGCAGATGAAAGGCAACATCTTAGATCTATAAGTCCATCCACGAAGAAACACAAAATTATCTCAGTGAGGTAGAAACATGAATCTTATTGAATCCCTTAAGAGAAACTTTACTAGACATAAAATAAAAGCACTAAATATTAAATAAACTATATTTTATCCCAACATTGGGATGAACAAAACTTGTTATTCATCACTTCCCCTACAAAAGGCAGAACTAAAGTCTAGTAGGATTAAAAGATTTCGTTTGGCGTTTTTCCATCAATGTGTGATAGATGTGTAAAAATAGTGGACAGAGAATGAAAACAGGCCATGTGTTGCATGATGAAGCTCTCGCTTTCACTGAAATGGAAAACGAGTCTGGAAGAATATTCAATCATTTCACTGAACTCCGATCCAGAACCGCACAGCATTCTGGGAGATGTAGGCAGATGTAGAGGCTTTTAGCCGCTCAACGTCTCACGGCTAACCACGCTGGATTGGTGGAATCAAATCACTCGCTTCCTGGTTGCCTAGCAACAACTGGCTGAGCAACATGCGCAGCAGCAGTTTAAAGTTTTGCTATAACGTAGTGGGGTGAAAACCGGATACAATCAGGAAAGGTCACGTCAGTAATTCAGATATTTAAAACTAATCAGTAACTATTGATATTGACTTTTACAACTTCCTGACAACCATTTTTAGCCATGAAGGGGGTCAAAAAATACTGTAGCTATTCTGTTTTAGTTCTACTGGGGTCCACAAACCTCAGACTTTAATCAGAGAGGAGTGAAAATCAAATAATTATGCAAATGGAAATTAAGTTTGCTTTAATTTCTCGACTGTTTTCACAACTGAAAACAGGTGAATACAACTTAATATTGCCAACAGAAATGACATCAGAATAAAGTAGCATGTGTAATTATAGAGGGAATAACAGAAAGCACAATCATTTTGGTGGTTTTTGGGAGAGACGTAGAGTTTCATGTTTTTTGTAATGATGCGATAGTCCCAACAGAACGACCTGTAAACGCTGCTTTATGAGGGCGGTGCATGAAGAGGCAGTTCCTTCAGATCCATAATGCACCCAGAATGGGAGGCATTTTAGTTTCCTCCTGAAACTCCCAATTAAAACTCAGACGCAGCATTAACACGAGGCCTTTACGAACATGAGCCGAGAGCGCCGGCATTTACAATACATCTGCAAAAATATCCACAGTTCACCACAAAACCTTCTGCTGCTCAACTTCAAGGACAAAAAAAGTAAATGTTTGATCCAATTTCAGAAGAAATCCTTTAATTTCTGAACCATCAAGGCGATTGGTGGACACCTCTGGTTGCTGTTCAGTTAGTTTTGTCAAATCTCTGTGGTAAGATACAAACAAATAAGTTTTCAGCTTGACTAGAGGATCCAAAAAGTGCTTTCTTGTTCCCTTGGTAAGAGAATCTACCACAGGCCAGTTTTTGCAGTGTTTTCAACTAGACATGCACCAATAGATCAAGTCCGATTTCTTAATTTTGGGAGATCTGCAAATGGTCAATGAGAAACCAATCTCATCTCCCTCTGATCTGAAAATCAGAAACTCTCCTTTCACTCTACCAAACTATAGTCACCCCATTGTTAACTTAGATGCTATATATAGCGACTTTTCAGCTAAAAAATAAATAGATACTGGTTTTAACGAACAGTTATCAGCAAAATAAAACCCTGCACTCGGTGTACCACTACCTCCAACAGCATATACTGTTGTCAGAGACTCAGTTAAACTGAAACATATCAGTTTAAAAGTCACAGGAAGCTGGTTGGTGGATTGACCAACATAAAGGGTGTTTTTGCCTCACAGTCCAGCAGATTTGGTTCGATTCGCACCAAAATATCAACATTTGTTAATTTTCAGCAGCTGCTGCGGTTCTTTTTCTCACTGTGTCAAATGAGCCAAACCCTTGGAAAACCCAGTTCCCCTCCTCGCCTGTGGGGGCAGTACAACAAGAACCACTGAATAAATACGACATGAAAACCTCAGAAGAAGAAACTGAGCGCAGCTTCCTGCTTCACGAAATGTAACAGAAATAAAGTAGGGCCAGGTTTTAGTATTTCTCTTTGGTAAAAATACACGAGCCATTTTTTCTGCAAGCGTGAGACAAGAGTTTGATTTGGTTGTATTTACCCAGAATGCCGTGCGCGATAGTCCACGTGGTTCAAGAGCATTCTTTGTGTTTGTGGAGCATTGATTGCCATGCTATGCAGTTATTTACAAAAGTAAACAGTTTCTATTGTCATTTTTATCATGATCACAATAATACCGCAAAGTATTATGATAAAACTTTAAGTCCAAACCTGATCTCAAAACCTGATGCTCCAGTTTGGGTGAAAACTTTATCATAAATGTTTGACTAAGAAAATATTTTCATTTTAAAAAGAGGTAAGAATCAGAAAATGAACCCATTTAAAGAAATGCTATTGCAATAAACAATAACATTGTTGTTTTGAGACCATTTTCAAGTAATGTTATAGTAACGGCATAATAATGCAAGAACGCATTCTCAAAAATCAATAAGCTTTAAATTCTGTTCAACATTCAACACTGGAACTGGAAGACATTTTGAATATAAAAATAAACAAATAAGGCAACAAAAACAACAAATAACGTGAATTATGAAGTCTTGAATGAAAACGGTTCTTCAAAAACCGTTAAGATCGAGTTAAGATCAAAGCACCAAACTGAAGACCAGTTTTGGCAGAAAGGGACAAAAGAGAAAATCAATAAATCCTGCAAATGGAAATTGAGCTTGTTTTAATTTGCCAGGCGATTAATAGATGTATTGTTTATTGTGTCAGCCCTAAAGGAGATAAAATCTAAAGTGGATTTATTTATTCCAGTCTGCTAAGGCGTGGCACTGGAGACGAAAACAGTTGCATCTGAAGGAAGATGTGCAGAAGTAGAGTAAATAGGAGCTGAAGGTTCACATCGCAGGCAGATCAGATACCTTTCATTTGCAACATTTTTGTTTTAATTGGTAGGAGAACTGCTGGCTTTTATCACCTTTCACATTTTCATCCAGAAATCCAGGTAGAAAACTGTTTATTCTCCCCTCCACCTCCAAAACCTGCTCATCAATGGATTCTCCAGATATGTGGCCTCCTTCAAAACTCTCTGAACCTCTTTGTTCTCCTTCCATCTTCTCCAATTATTTGCTCAACCAATATCTTGGTTCCTGAAGCTCCCCCCGGTGGCTCTCCATTCTTCCTCGTCCCTTTTCCTCTTCCTCCCGCTGCCTCTCATCTCCTGAACGCTCCACGGTGGCCGCCTCTCAGGCAATTAAGCGGTGGGAGTTTTCAGTGCAGCAGATGTGCAGGACGGATGACGGGCGGCGCGTCGGACGAATACAATTTCTGTTTATATCGAGATCTGAAGTATTTCTGCTCGCTTAAATATTCAAGAAATGAAGTGAAAGATGCCGTCCAAGCAGGAGGTTGAGTGAAAGTTAAACTCATTTGCTGTTTCAATCACATTAAATAAACTTAAGCAGCAGATTTAGACAGAAATTATCATTTTCTGCACAATCCATATAGTCTTAATTACCTCAAGCAGTCATGATTGGTGGACTTCCAGTTTATTATTGCCCATTTATTCATTTAGGTCTAGAATAATAAAATAAAACCACTTTATGTTGCATCTCTCGCAATATAATTTGTGAGAGTCGCATTGTAATTTCTGCTGGGTGGCTTCTACTGCAGCATCTCAAAGGCTAAACATTAATTTTAGTGCTTTGACGCATCCAAAGAATCAAGAGAGCATCTTTGGAGCTGCGAAACACAAATATTTTGACGTTAGATTTCATGTTTGTGTCTGATTAAACTAAAAACTACTAAGAGAATTATGAAAAACATCATTTCCATTCTTTTTCATCATGGCTCTCTGGACAGATTCCAACCAGATTCGCATAAAAACTTTTACGAGAAAATTTAAGACACACACACACAGACTTATTGAACAGCTACCTGTATGGTTTGGCGGTTGTAGACTTTGACTACATGGAAGTTAAAACTGTAAATCCCTTTCCGCGGCGCGATGAAGTTACTTCGTTCCTCGTCAAAATTCCTCCCAACGTTTACTAAAACCTGGAAGAAAAGAAAAAACTTGTTATAAAGTTGTTTCTGTGGAAACAAAAGTAGTTTTTGGAGAACATTATGACACTTTAAGTTACAAAAAACAGAAGAAAGAAATGATTTTTTCAACACAACTGAAAAAAGAACTTAAATCTCAAAATGAAATCACAAGAGTTTCTAAATCAAAACAGTTTCCTGAGGCTATAACATAAAACTTTACGTTCTTTTATAAACTTTAAGAAAGATTCAAAAAGAACAATTATAGATTATATCTGTCTACTTTTATGAATGATGACTGAGATGCTTTTTAAGGGAAAAATTTATAGTTTTTCCATCTTTTATGAAGCGAGACTGGGAATAATTTAGAGAATAATATCCAAAAGGAAAGGCTGCAAAACTGAAATAATAAGGATTCAGTTTTCCAACAACAAAAATAAAGAATCAGACTTACATGCCCTTGATTTAGCAAATTCCACCATTAATGCACCATATTTATGAGAACTGGTCTGATTCATTTTAACAGAATTGGACTTTTATAGTTAAACACATGAAATAAAATGTTTTATTCATTAAAAACAGTGAAGTGGACGAAATGACCATCATTTCTGCAGTTAAAATGTTTTAATCAGCTTCACGGATCAGACAGAAAACTACAAATAATTATCATCAATATTTAGTTATTTGAGCCAAACTTTACATGTTTCCTCTGTGAACTGAACCAAAACCAACCGAACCTTCAGAAACAAATATGATGATGTGAGATGTTTTTGGACCCACCTGGTCAAAGTAGATGACCATGGTTCGGTTGCTCATCTCGGACGGCTCGTGGTTGGTGTTCCGGACCGCGGAGAAAGCCACCTTCGCGCTGCCGGAGCGCACCGAGATGCCGAGCGCCGTGCCCGTCGGGTCCGAGGTCGGGTTGGAGTCGCACACCACCAGGCACTTTCCCTCCAGCACGATGGGTTCGGTCTCATTCTGAGCCCGAACCGGGCCGGCAGCCAGCCAGGCGGCACTCAGCAGGCACAGCACCAACATTCCGGACCAGAAAGTAAAAAAAGGAAGAAAAAAAAAAAAAAAAGCCCAACAGTTGCAGAAGTTTAAAGCTGCGCGCGCCGCTCCGGTCTGCTGCGGTTTGCGGTTAAACTCCGAGCCGGATGGGTTCGCTCCGGTCCAGTCCCGGTCGCTCACCTGGTCTCCTCCTCCTGGCGCACCTGTCAGCGGCTCCTGCTCCGGAACAAACAGAGTCGCGCGCCGAGCGGGCGGACAGCAGCAGTCATAGCAGCAGCGCGCGGGAGGGGAAGCTCCGTCTGCTCTCTGGCGCGCGCCTCAATTATTGATAGGCGAGATGTGAGCGATCGGAACACAAAAGGCTCGCGAGGAGGAGACCCCGCCCTCCGGTCCCGAGGTAAACGACAACTCATCAGGACCGGCGCGTGCGCGGACGTGAGATTTTCCAATCAGCGCGCGGAGACCGCCTCTTTTCCCGCCCTTCGCCTCCTCCTTTAACTCCTTTATGGCTCCATCTGTGGAAAACTGCATCCTTATGCAGTTGTTTTTCCTTTTTGTTTGTGTTTCTTACTGGAGAAAGTTTCTAGAAACATTTTGAGATTAATCCAAGAGTTTTTCTAGGAAAATTCAAAGTGTCTAAAGCCGAAAATATTCTGCAGAAAATGGAATTTTCTAAATTTCTACAAAATTTTTGACTGAGTTTCAAAACTTGATAATCTTTCAACTTTTGTACTTTTTCTGAGTTTCTAAAGCAAAAAATTTAAACTTTGAAACTCAGTCAGTACCTTTTGACTTTTAAAACAGAAATTTTCAAGATTTTTCTAGAAATTTTACTTTTGAAATATTGTCAAAAAATGTTACAGAAATTTTAAAAATTTCTGATTTTCTATAAATTTGTGAAATTTCCAAGTTTTTTGTCAGAAATTTCTGACGTTAATCTAAAAATGTATGAGTCTCCATCAACTTTTTCTAACATGATACTTCAAATTGTGCAGAAAAACAATGTTGTTGTTGAGAAAATATTCTGCAGCTTAGTAAGGAAAAGTAGAACTTGTCTCATAACTTCTGGCACAAAATAAAGAGCATTGATCTCCATACTGTTGACATTGGTAGTGGTAGGTAGAGTGACAGTTTAGCTTGCCGCTTCAGTGCCTTGAACCATGATGAGCCATGATGTCTAACAATGAAATTATCATGTAAAAATCATGTCTGGCCTCCAGTTCAAGATATTAGACTTGGACACACTAACGTTATGCAGCAGAAAAATGATTCAAAACTCCAAAATGAATTAAACCAGAATTGTCCAAAAATGTTTAGCATCTTTTGTTCATTATAGAAGAAGTTGTTTTTGGTTTCTCTTGACTGAAACAAGGTGAAAATGTACTGAACCGTGAATATAAATCCAAAGTACTTCATTAACCAAGAAAAGCTGATGGGCTTTTCCAGGCAGGTCTCTGCTGGGGGTCGTCTGGATGTCCACTTTTCAAAAATGTGTGTTTTGATCAAATGCTGCTTCGGAAAGTTATGGTGTTGTTTTAGTAGCATTTGTTGAAAAGGAAATGCTTCTTTGACCACTCACCATGTCAAGGAATTTAAATTTATCTCACGCGTTTTATTTTTCTACCCAGTTGTTATCATTTTTCCATGCCCTTCCGGTCTCTGTCATACTTTCCACCTCCCTGCTCTCCCTCCAATCCTGCAGTTTTCATCCCTGTCTCTATCCTAGTGGGTTTTCCCTCGGCGTCTAATATGAGCTGACGGTGAGTGACAGGCCAGAACGACTTCTGTGTGACGCCGGGCGCTGGGGACGAGCCACATCTACTCTCCGTCTGTCCACCTTTTCTCCTCCAGACAAACACAGATCCTCATTTCCTTCCTCTTTCTCGGGACCACACTGCTCTGTTGGCACCGTGGCTTCACTGAGTCTCAGGCTGTTTTCACACCTGATAGTCCGGTAGACTCGGTTCGATTGGGGACTAAAGTTGCAACACTTGTTTAATTTTCGGCTGAGGTGGTTCTCTTTCACACTGCATTGTGTCAAATAAACCAAACCCTTTTAAAATCCTGTTCCCCTCCTCGCCTGTGGGGGCGTTGTACCAAGAACCACTGAAAGAAATGACACAAAAACCCCAAAAGAAGACACTGAACATAAACGAAGTGGCGTCAGATTCTAGCAGTTGTAGGATTTCTATTTTGCTTTTGGTAAAAGACCACAAAGCACAGCACCCGCTAACGCTAGATTCATCCATTTGTTTTGGCTGTATTACCCAGAATGCCCTGTGTTTTAGGCCACTTGCTGCTTTTGTAAGCAGTCTCCTGTCTGCTTAGCGTTCACATATGCATCAACTTTAACGGCGGGTCAGCGTTCGCTTTTTTGGTCTGTGTCAGAGTTCAATTACATGATCACACCTCCCCAAATAAATCAGGCTTTGGAGACAAACGAACTGGAGTTCGATTAAAGCGGACTAAACTGGACTGAACCCAGCCCTGGTCTCAATGAAAACAATTTAAAATTAAAACCTGGCAGAGGTGTGAATATTTTGGAATTTAAAAGTAAGATAATGAGTCATTTTGGAACAGGAACAGTGAAATCAGGCGCTGTTGTGTTCAAAATAACAAAAATATGTTCCGAGAAATTATTATAAAAACTTATGTTTTAGTTCCATTCGAACATTGGAAACAGTGAATAAAATCTCAACAATATGTTGTAACTTATTAGAAAGTGAGAGAATTAGACTCACTTAGTCTAAATCTTTTAAGATATTAGACTCTTAAAAGAAGCAACATCAAATTCTTCAATCCAATTTCCAACTTCTTACTGTGTAAACTGTAAAAATACTCAAAGATTTAAGATTCCTGTGGCCCACTGAGCAAATATTTAGTTGTATGCAACTAAAACATCAACATGCAAACCTTTTTTAATTAAAAACATGAAATATCAGAAGTGGTGTCCTCATTTTCTTCCACAGGATTAAAATATTCTGACAATCTGAGAGGAGAAACCCACATTTCTGCTGCAGAGCAACACAGACGCACTGAGCATGCTCAGATCGACTGGAGCACAGTGAGGCAGGTAAACACAGAGCGAGAAGGTTCGACCAGAAATCAGCAGGTAAAGCTGTCTGTTGATTGGAGGTTTGCCTCCTGGGATCGTGTGAGCGTGTTTACACTGGACTCTCATCTAGTCTAAATAAATGGGGCAGAATAATAAAGCCACACCTCTGCTTTCTGTCTGCAGGTTTTCATCCATTACTGTGCTCTGTCTTACATTACAGTCACAAAGAAGTTGCAAAACTGGAAGAAAAAAGTTCTCTCTGGATCTTTACAATAAACCTAGCTCTCTGGGTGTTTCCTATCTTTATTTGAAGAAAAAAGAAAAACATAAATAATGATTCTTATTTACAGCTGCAGTTTTGAAAATTGATTCAAGAACACTATAGCACTCCAACAACATTAAATCTTACCAAGTATTTTTGTCTAGTTTTTAGTGCAAATAGGTTATTACACTTTAAATAAGACAACACTAACTAACAACTAACTTTTCAGCAAGATACAGAAGCTTGTTTCAGGCCAATAATCCCTTAATATTGATTTTTTTTTTAAAGTACAAGTTCTGCCTGCAGATTATTTATCTTATAATAAGGAAAAAAAATATTGTTAAGTGAAATAATCAAATGTTAAAGACTGATTCACTTAAAACAAACTTCCAGAAAATGTAAAGCTTGGAGGCAGATTTTAGCGCTGTGCTGCTAGCTATGTTGCAGCTAGCAACCTGTTGTGAATGCTAAGGCTAGTTAGCTGTGATGGAGGATAAACAGTTTTCCTGTAACTTTAAGTTGCAGTGTATACACAAGCTTGATTGACAGCTCTGAGACCCGCCTCCTGGCTCTGATTGGTTGTTTTGATTGACAGCAAAGTGTTTTTTCAATAGTAGCTTCAATAGAAGAGATAAATTTTTCCACAGATTAAGTTTCTCATAACAAACTGTCACGACATGGTGTCAATTTTACCAAATATGTTAAAAACATATTTTATAAAAGTTACATCCTGCAGCTTTATATCCTCTTTAATTCATAAAATATAGCTGGCAACGATCCCACTAATGTCAGGATTGAACACCCAAAAAGCAAGCAAACATTTCCCACACAAAAACAGGACATTCAGTCCATTACAGTTTCAAAGTTTCATGTTTATTTGGCGATTATTAATAAGTGATTGTCTGATCATAGTGGAGTTTAATTAGCTATTAACACATGCTCTACTGATTTTCTGTGAGAGTTTTAATATATGGGTTTACTTATTTTTCTGTTTGTTAACTGAACTGAAACACACTGAATTCTGCAGCACTTCTACATGTCAAAGTGTCAAAGTCAAGCTAGCATAGCTGACCAACTTTACTCTCCTTTGCTATTTTTTTTAATTGAAACTTTTTTCTGACTTTATTGTCTAGGTGTTTTAAAGTTGACAATTAGCATTAAAGAACTGTGTCCCTTTGTCTTTACAGGTTTAGCGCCTTATGTTGACAACTTTACAGCTAAAACCAAGGCTAATCATGGCCAGTGAGCAGGTTTCTGGATCTTGTGTGCATGTATAAGGTCTGCACAAAATAAATATATTAAAGGTAAATCCACATTTTTTTGGAATATTTCAGCATCTGGTGTTTATGTTTCTGTATTATAAAGGAGTTTCTGATCCCAGGTTGTTGACCTTTTTGTCACACCTTGCAGCAGCAGCAGCAGCAGCAGCTTTATTTTTCCTGCTGCTCATCGTCTTGTGATGCATCAGGCAAGCCGGCTCAAATCTAATAGGTTTGCTTAAAACACACTTTTCTTGGGTTGAGATTAATTACCATATCCTCCTGCTATTACAGGTGTATTTTTGAAGTGTGGCTGCCATTAAGTGAATTATCGCCTGTCTCCGGATCAAGTGCTTTGATGAAATAATCAAATTAGAAATGTGAAGCACGGCCTGTAATCTGATTTTTCAGGAGATGATTGCATTTTGTTGACAAGACGTTGGTGGATGTGACGGTCGCTGGCTCGAGACTGCCAAGTGCACAGCAAGGTTGTCACGTCCCGTTGAAACAGTCATCCTGCCGACTGCAGCGAAGACAGAGACGTCTGAAAAAAACACCAAACAGCTGCTTCTGTGTTTTATCTTGAAGCTGCAAACATATCTGTTAAAGCTTAAACTTTGAGATTTCAGCACATTTTAACCTCTTTAACTGATAACAAAGACCCACAAAGGCAGCTGAAGTCTGACTGAGAGGCTCCTCACACAGAGGAATACCTCTGTGTGAGGCATCCAACAAATTGTTGGATGAAGATGTCCAAATT